GATGGGGATTTGACCCCCACGGACAAAAGCTTATCGGATACTACATGCCCCACACGCTAGATGGCTCCAAGGTACCTGCGCTGGTACACATAGACGAGTGAATACTCACCCAAAACTTCCACAGTTAAGGCCCACGTTACAACATCCCAGCCCAATATAACTTAAAAAATATGCGAAATGTATCTCAACAGTATATTCAATGTAAAATGTTCCTGTGACCCATATACATAGGGTTGCGGTAATTTTAACATGTTTGTCTTTTCATCGCATGAAAAATAAAGATTTACAAAAAAAAAAAAAAAAAAAAGTATTTTATTAATTTAAGTATTTTAAAATTATAGATTTAGCTAGCTGGGATGGGTGGAAGTTAGTGGGGAATTGGGAGATTTTTTAACCCTCAGGGGTTCAATTTATTTAATTAACTAATTTAAATATTTTATAATTATATATTTTGCTAGCTGGGGTGGGTGGGAGTTATGGGAAAATGGGGAATTTACTGTTAGTGCTGCTTACTGCTAGTTAGTGGTTAACGGTCAAAAACAAAGCTTAGAAAAATGTTAAATCAGTAAAAAAAAAAAAAAAAAAGTTAAGAAAGTTTAGGAAAGTTTAAAAAAATTAATAAGCAAAACAAAAGTTTAAAAACTAGTTTTAAAAAGTTTTAAAAGTTTTAAAAAGTCAAAAAATACATTTAAAAATGCTCATTACCACTACACCTGGAACAAACTAGAGAAAAAATGATCCCATGCCAAGGTTCAAAATATGCCTTTTGAATTACCCCATGTGGGTGTATTCTTTAATAAATAGTATGTGTTTGTGGGGAAGTTTCAATAACCAAACATCTAAACTACTCCAAATTGGAACATGGACACAGCGTAAAACTTCAAAGTTAGAAAAAAAAACTGAATGGCTGCATCTTAAATGCGCCCCTTCAACATCCACATATACCTGGCAAAGGTACATACAGGGGTATTGCTGTACTCAGACCACATAGCTGAGCAACATATGAAGTATTAAATATGCCTTTTGAAATACCCTGGGATGTCTTCTTTAAGAAATGGAATGGCTGTGTCCCAAATGTGCCCCTCCGATGTCCACATATACCTATGCAAAGGTACATACGGGGGTAATGCTGTACTCAGCCGACATAGCTGAGCAACATATGAAGTGTTATACAGTGGTAGCACACATAAGGTTTGCAAAATATACTGTGCTAACTCACTTTGTGTGTCAAAAAGGTAGAAAAAAAAAGCTTATTACCACTACACCTGGTACAAGCCAGCGGAAAAATTATCCCACGCTAAGGTTCAAAATATACCTTTTGAAATACCCTGGGGTGTCTACTTTAAGAAGTGGTAGGCCTTTGTGGGGTAGTTTGAATTTAAAACCTGCGAAGATGCTTGGAAATTGCACATAGGCCCAGAGTCAAAATTCAAAGTTTGGTAAAAACGGATATGGCTTGGTCTCCTATATGGCACTGTAGCTTCACAAAATAGTGCCAAAGACATTCATTGGGGATGTCGTTTTACTCAGAAGACTTAGCTGAGCATAATTTGGGGGTTTGAGCTTAGTGGAACATATGAAATATACAAAATGCCCAGAAAAAATGCAATCCGTATGTAAAAAATGCCCCAAATTATTTTTACCACATACTTTAGCATATATTGGTGAAAAAATGGGGGCATGTTAAGGCACAATATGCATCTTATGAGATACCCTGGAGTGTCTACTGTGACAAATGGTAGGCCTTTGTGGGGGGTTTTTTGAACAGTCAAACTACTATAATACCCCAAATGGAAGCATAGGCTCATTAAATCCATCTCTCAAAATTCTACTGTGAATACTGAAAAGGACAGGTCTCTTATATGGCACTATAGCTTCACGAAATAGTGCCAAAGACATACAATGAGTGTGTCATTTTACTCAGCCAATGTAACTGAACACAAAATAAAACTTTGTACAGGAATAGTACACACCAACTTTACAAAATACACATGAGAATTTCTTTGTTATAAGTTTGTGTGGCAAAAAACAAAAACTATTTTACTCCAATATTTAGCAGAGGTTGGCGGTGAAATGGCTACGTAGAAAGTGTCAAAACAACCTTAGGTAAATAGCCTGTGATGTCTACTCTATATAAATATATACTTTCGTGTGGCAATTTTGTTTTCTTTTATGGCTATTAAGCTTACAAGACAAACATACCAAATTCTAAAATCGCTCCACATTAAAAGTTTATTTTACTCCTTTCAGGGCCAGACTGGCCCACCGGGATACCGGGAAATTTCCCGGTGGGCCGCGGCACCTGGGGCCGGACTGACAGCCCTAATCATTGGGCTGACAGCTCCTGTGATCCCGGCCGGCTATGTGTGAGCTGTGCGGCCGCACAGAGCCCCATGGGAGCAGGGGGAGCCAGGCGGCCAGCACAGCTCACACATGGCCGGCCTCATATAAAAAAAAAAAAAATTGTGGCGGGGGCGGAGCTTATGTGCGGCGGGGCGGGGTTAGCGGGGCGGGGCTTAGCGTGCAGCGGGGCTCTGGCTGACTGCAGCATGGGAAGCAGGAAGGAGTCCCTGCTTCCCCAACAACAAGCCTGAAGGAGGTCAGTGTGTCTGTGTGAGTGTGTGACTGCCTGTGAGTGTGTGACTGCCTGTGAGTGTGTGACTGCCTGTGACAGCGTGTGACTGCCTGTGACAGCGTGTGACTGCCTGTGACAGCGTGTGACTGAGTGACAGCGTGTGACTGAGTGACAGCGTGTGACTGTCTGCCTGTGTGTGTGTGTGCGCGCGCGCGCATCTGCTAGTGAGGGAGCCTCTGTGTGTGCCTGCTAGTGAGTGAGCTTGTATGTGTGTCAGTGAGCTTGTCTGTAGGGATCGTGTGTGTGTTAGTGAGCTTGTCTGTAAGGAGCATGGGTGTGTCGGAGCCTGTCTGTGGTGAGCATGTGTGTACAGTGAGCATGTCTGTAGTAAGCATGAGTGTGATCGTGAGCTTGTCTGTAGTGACCATATGTATGTCAGTGAGCATGTGTGTGTCAGTGAGCTTGTCTGTAGTGAATCTGTGTGTTAGTGAGCTCTTCTGTAGGGAGCGTGTGTGTCAATGGGCTTGTCTGTAGTGAGCGTGTGACAGTGAGCTTGTCTATAGTAAGCTTGTGTGTGTGTGTGTATCAGAGTTTGTCTGTACTAAATTTGTGTGTGCGCCAGTAACCTTGTCTGTGTGTGTCATTGTCTATCAATGAGCCTATTTGTGTGCATCAGTAAGATTGTCTGTGTGTGAGTATGCTTTACTGTATAATTACCCTAAAAAAAAAAACTAATATATTTTGAATTAGAAGAAGAAATGTATCAATAAAAAAAATTTAAAAAAGTATATTTATATATTTGCATCACCAGGGCTCCAGTATATATATAGGCAATTGAAATAGTTGGCTGCACTCTCGAATTTCCTTAAAATTTTACTTTTATTGAAACATTCATCTTCTCTTAACTATTTCAATAAAAGTTACATTTTCAGGAAATCCGAAAAATCCTAAACACCCTACATAGCACAATGACTGGCTATGGGGCGGGCATAGATTTTTTTCCAGGGCTGCTTCGAATCCCCAGTCCGGCCTTGACTCCTTGTGACCTGTAACTACTAAAAAAAAAAAAAACTCAAAATCCCAGACACATTATATATTCTGTAAATCAGAACAACTAAATGAATTTATTTTTAATTACTTTCCTTAATCTGCACTAATTGTGCACACATTATTTTTGCAAAAACGAAAAAATTTTAATGTATATGTTACATCAAATTAAAGCCCTTTCTGTCCTTTAAAAAAACAGTGTATAAAATATGTGTCGGTGCAATAAATTAGTAAAATGCAAATTGCAGTTGAACGTAAAACAGCAAAAAATGAGTGAAAGAAAAGCTTCTGAAGCTCTGTCCTTAAGGGGTTAAATAACAAAATCACCCAAATGGCCCTGATCAAAAAGTTTACTTGAATGTTTCGCCTTGTTACAGACACACACAGGTTAAAATGGCAATTAAAAGTTAATTTCCCACACCTGTGGCTTTTTAAATTGCAATTAGTGTCTGTGTACAAATGGTCAATGAGTCTGTTAGCTCATGGATGAACTGAGCAGGTTAAATTCTGTGCCGTGGGGAGCAGAAAATAACTGTCAAACGACCAGCATAACAAGGTAACGGAAAGTTATAAAGATAAATAAAAAAATAAAATTAAAAAAAATTATATCCAAAGCCTTGAAAATGCCAGTCAGCACTGTTCAATCACTTAAGAAGTGGAAAATTCAGGGATCTCTTGATACCAAGCCAAGGTCAGGTAGACTAAGAAAGATTTCAGCCACAACGGCAAGTAAATT